ATATAATCGTTATCAGAAGTGTGTTTGAAATAACAGATGGTAAAACATGATGTCAGACCAAGGTCGAAGGTCTCGATTTAAAGTAAAATGGGCTTTTTGTTTACCACTCCAAGTATTAGCTGTTCTTTGTTAAACTCAATGTTTGCAGTTATTGCTTGGGGATGTACATAAATATGCCCAATTGCCATCAGACGCAGTGTTCCATATATCAGGAATAATAATGGAGGTGGACGAAGTATATTACAATAACTTGTAAGATGAAAGTGGGAGAAGTTAGAAAGGAGACAACATTGTCATAATTTATAAGTCATGATACGAAAAACTAGGACAAAATGATAGGGGCAATACTAGTGTCTGCATGTTTTGTTTTATCTGGTTTTTATTCTTGGATTTTTTTTCGTTTACACTCTGCGACATTCACCGCTAGGTGGCGTTATATACATGTAAACATTCCATTATGGAGCAAGGTTAAAGATAACAAGTTTGTATCGTAATTGAATTAAAGTAAAAAATGTAGGAATTGCTTGATAAAAATAATAATAAATGATGTTTATTATGAAAGAATTTGGTTGGCAAGGTAAGTAATTTATTTATAAAGTTATGGATATAAGTTAGTTTGCGATGTGAAAAGTGTTTTATTGAATAATAAACAGATGCGCCTGGCGTGTGAATATTGTTTTACATACTTTGTAAGGATAAATATTTGACAATAAAGAATTTACTGCTGTAGTCGGAAATAAAATAGTTTGTTATTGTAACGGCATATGATTCTTTTAAACTTACATATCAATCACGGACTGTACTTTAAACACTCTTTAATGCTTGTCAGAATCTCACACGTCTCAGTTATAAACATATATCCTTGAATAATTTAATTTTAACGATTTTATTCTTTACCGTAATCCTATCTTTACATATGAAACATAGATGAATGACAATAATTGAGACTTTTCAAATGTTATGTCATTTTATTTAAGTCAGTATGTAGGTTACCTTAAACTAGGTAATGCCATTCATTTTCAAAAACATTTATACCAGAATGAATATGGAATAAAAAAAATCTGCCCAACAACTAGCATGCCATCATTTCTTCCACTTTCTAATCTAAACAGAGCTGCTCCTTATCTATATTTGCTGAGAGCTGATCAATGCATCTGTACATTTTTTTTCAAGATCATAATGATTTGTAAAGATACAATATGTCCTTAGTTTGTTTCCATCTGAAACAGATCGAATTGCTTCTAGAAAATTGATACGGGTTCAACCAGTCAATACTATGTTACGAAAATGCCCTGTTCAATGCTTTTAATAAACATAAATGATTTTTGAAATGTTTAATTTCAGCCTGACAAGAGTTAGATTTTGAAAGAGGGTCTTCAACCATAGGATCTCGGTTATAAAATGGAATCTCTTATCCTGAGTACATATCGAGAATGAAAAATGTTTAGCAATAAGAAAAACTTTAATATATATAAAATAAAAAGATTTTAAAAAGAATAAATTTTTGGCATATTTGATTTTGAAAATTTTAAATTTTTGTGTTTCCCTTTTTTTCAGCTTTCCCAGCTAAATCCCAAAATTTTTATTAAAGGCTTTTTGCATGCCAAAACCCTGCTTTTGTACAAATAACTGAGTGCAGAACTTTATTGTATAACAATTGATAAAAGTTTAATTAAAACTTTTACCAAATTGCCTCTATCTGACCAACTAATGTGTATTACGGTCACTTTATTAGAAAGTACCTTTCTCGTTTAATGTAATGATTTTTTAAAGGAAAACCAATGATGGAGAAATCTATCTGATGTGTTAGATTGTAAACATGATATATGTAGATTGTTTATATATGAAAGCTCCTAACACTCTGTTTTCCTTCCCAAGTTTTCCTCTCCAAGTTTTCCATCCCGTATTTTCTGTCACGTGTTTTCCTTCCCATGATTGGCTTCCTATATGTTGCTTCCTATGTTTGGCAGATCAAATTAAATCAGAATAAATGTCACCTTACGTTTAAAAGAATGAAATGTATAACTCATAGCCTATAGTGCTATGGTCTTGTAAGACCAGAAGCAGTAGCTGAAGATGGTTACAAATAGCTAATCGACGATTATAGTGTTGCTTGCTAAAAGTTAAGTTTGTTTAATAAAATGTCTAATAGTTGGTGCTCCTGGTGAATTTTTTCATTTCGTTTGCTTTTATACATGTTTTTGATACTTCATCTTCTTTGATTTGGTGTTTAAATTTTCTTTATCTGTTTCAGTACATAATGTGCAATTATTTAATTTAAGCATTTAAAAAGACATTATTATTTATTGGTTGTAGGAAAAATGGCAAAGTGTGAACTGTTTTTGAATTTCACTTGTTAGCTCACTTTATACCCTTGGATGTCACTTAAATATATACATACTAATAACTGATGACATATCACAGAAATTTTTCTTGAAGTACATATATTCAAGTTTCTATATTTTTCCATGGGTTTCAATTAATTGTGTGTTTAAAATTTTTGTTTTTGTTTTACAAGACAATTTTCCTTTTTAACTCTGAGATGAGACAATCATGTTAATGGAAACATCAAGCTCATGTGCAATGCTTACGAATCTAAAGGAAACCCATATGGTCAAATTCATGACGTTTCTAACTCCAATTTTGATACTTATCTCATCAACAATTTTTGAAAATATCCTTCGTACCCACTTGACATTTTCAACCAGTACTTTGCTGTGTGGTCTTATTAGGAATGGGCTATCATCTTAGGTCACTTTTTATCAAATGCGGACTGGTCTCTTTCTAGATAATCAAATATTTGTTGCAATACCCTGACCTTTAGACCTGTTTAAATTTTGAAATAATGATTTTCATGTATTCGTTTGTTGATTGGAAATAAATGGATGATGATAATAATCATTATAATTATTTATATAAAATAACATTTCAAATTGATGTATTGATAAATGCACAGCAATAAATAGTTTGGAAGGCTTTGAAGATATGAGTCTGAACAAAATGAGTATGATATATTCCAACAATGTTAAAACATGATTATATGCACGATGCAAATATTTATGAGATTCGTTTAACTGATCTTAAAGGCTTTATGCTTTTGAAGAAAAAAGCATAATTCAAACGAGCCTTGGTCTTATTGACAATTACCAGATTAAGCCTTTATTTGGTCATCAGTATTGAATAGACTATGAATCTTCTGGCTTTAACAATTCCAATTTCTATCTTCCTTGTAATTTAAAAACTCGTTTACGACTAGGTATAGCAAGCTTAATGGAGATCTATGGAGATATGGTTGATAAACCTCTTATGGTCATGGGTCATAGTTTTTTTCTGTTGTCTTCACTTAAATCATCAAACGTTTTATTAAGAAGCTATGACCCATTTATGTTTAGGCATACCGAATGCATTGTGTTTAACCCTTTGACAGTTTGATGCTAAGCTTTCCTGTTTTGGTTGCATCTGAAGGACTGAAATGAACAGTTCGAAAAGTCTTAAGGACTGAATTGTTTAATTTTCGTCGTCTATTTTGCTTTGTTGGTCCCAGGAGATATTTTGTTGCTGTGCCTTCATTCAAGGCATCGAGTACTTTTGTGATGGTCTGTACTCTTTTGTTTATATTTACATGACAATTAATGTGTTTTATATAAATTTATTTCGTCTTATGTAACCATTACAATAGTTAAAATTTCATTTGGGAAGGATTTATTTTATTTACATATTTTTCGGCATGTGGGAACATATTGACGGGGATTGAGATTTTGCGAGCTTAAAACCGTTTGAAACTATCCAGTAGTGTTACTACTACTACTGACTGTTCCAATGCGGTACCCTCTTTATGTTAGACATATTCAACATTTATATCTTGTGAGTTGTTACGTGTTCTGTATGTTGACACTTTTTGTGATGACCTGCCTTGTTATATTATCGTTAGCAGTACGTATTTACTTCCTTCCCTCCTCGGATCACATTTTGTGCCCGCCCTCTGTTCCTTACACCCAAACCTTGACCCTTTAATTTACCATATCAGCCCTTTCAATTTTTATAGTATAGAGTATAACATTATGTAGCCTGACTCTTTGAAAGATGGGTCTAGACTGTCTTTAAAGATATTTACTTTGCCCTCTTTCTAAGGTCTTAAGATGAAGATCAATCAAGAATGGAATTATGATAATAGATACACTCTTTCAAGTTTAAGTATCAGCAAGAACGTAATCACAGAAAAAATGTTTTGTGCATTTGTGGAGTAAAATGGCAAATGTTTTAATGTTATGAATGGACATGAGTTGATAATAAACAACTTTTATGTCAGAAATAATTTTTTACATATTGAAAACAGTTTAAATGTGTATGTTTACGTGTGTACAATGTATGTCGTAGATAACATTTCGTCTGCTTTTACAATAATGTTGAATTTTATCTAATAGTATGATCTCATTAACTATCTCAGAGGTCTTCATTGTGGAATTTGGCAGTTACCAACTTATGTGTATAATCTAAGGGAGGTAATAAATTGTGAACTGAAGGAAGTAGGTCGTGATGTCATTGAGGTACAAGGAGAGGTGACTTCAAATAATAGTCGTAACTGTTAAATAAATGCATTTTTTATAATATGTCAATAATAATTTAATTCATATTACAGCGAAATAGCATAAAATAAGGTGTGATAAATATAAAATTACGTAACTGCCTACATATATTGTAATACACTTTTATTTTGTACCCGAAAAATATTATTAAAGATGGAATCTACGAGTTTGTTTAAAATTCTCAAGGAATTCTAAGTTTTAAAACCAGGAAAAATGCGTTGTATTTTTTTTGCTTAAAAAATTCTTTCCAATAGGTTTTTGCACTTTATCTAGATTTTATACAAAATAGCTTTATTATAATATTATTTACTTGGGACATCTTATAGTCGTATGTATTTTACAATATTAAGTATCTTTTGTAAAATTATCAGTTATATTGCCGAAATTATTTATGTTGTTTATCTTCTTTTTCAGTAAATGCTTGACAATGTCGAACGGTAGTTTCAGATCTGCGTTCTCATTTGGATCGGAAGCAATGTTACACGATAATTTCCGTCAATGCAAACACTGGTTTAGCTGTGTATCTTTGAAAGGTAAATCAGTCAACTCAGTTCATGATAATGATCTGATGATACTCAACGTACAATGATAGATAAAATCTGCATTCATGATCAGTCTCAAATGACTAATTAAATAAATTTATTAGTTTATACAAAGTGTTTCATTGAAAGAAAACAAAATGATAATAAACTTTTTGATTGAATAAAAATTTATACCAGTTTTCGATATCTGAAAACACACAAATCTTATAACTAATTTTATATTTCACAGGTTCAAAATCTTCGTGTTCAAGCGATGATGACACATACTATTTCGGAACAAATATAAGATGATTTTATATTTCCACAACATTTCAGAATTGATATGGAACAGTTACATTTTCTGTAATATGCCAAACATGATTTGTTAAAGTTTAGTGAACGGCATCTTCCTAATCAAATACGGAACAATTCTTCAGAAAGGAAAGAAGTGAATAAAGATGCAGACTGATTCTTCAAAGGAGGTCCAAGAAAGTTCCAGTGAGGCTTGTTCTGACATTACACACGACAACATGAAGACATTTAAAAATAAAAAAAATAAAAATGCGGTGCTTAGGAGAAAAGTTGGGTTTAAAGAAGGTCAAGGTAGGACATATGATCAACAACCGTCAGAGTGCAGCAAACTGCCGATATCTGAGACGGGTAAAAGAAAGGAACCGGAAAGTAAAAATGCCGAGGAAGTGCGAAAAAGTACAAGATACACATTCACCTCTAGCGCTGCCGATAAGCGTGCCGATCAACAGAACAATGTGGGAAAACAATATTTCAAAAAACCTGAAACTGTGCAAGCACTGACCACTGGTAAAATAAAGCCAGGAAACAGGATAACTAAGGTCGAGTTACAAAACGCGTTATTGTATGCAAAAAAGGGAATTGAGGTACAAGCAGCCAAAGCCGAAGACAAAAGTTGTGTGCTTTTTGTCGATGATTCCAGACAGGGGCTCAAATATCAATTTGAGTACTTTTATAAACGTCTCCCATGATCCACATTTAATCAATAAAGTAATCATTTATTCATTCAAATATGTGCTTTGTTTCACCAATTTTAGCATAATTTCTCAAAACTTATTACTTGTGTTTTTTGTACAATTTTTAAAGTATAAACTATAATTCTTTTCCACGAAATGTCGGAAAGTTTATCAATTTTTCTTTACAAATATAAATCTATGCTGACACATGTATTTATATGACATGATGGCTCAGACTATTTAATAATTATTTCAGTTAATATTTAAAAACTAAACAACAAATTCTCAATATTTTGTTTAAGGAGTTTCTGTCAATGATATAAATGTATTACTTTTTCCATACCAGAAAATATGCAAGTTGAAATTTGTGATGATATCTTAATCTTTACAGCACAAATTGTATATCTGTATTATAGTTCAATATAATTATGTTAGTAAATATTTTGTAGATTTAAATCTTAGAAATTCCGAAATGTAAATTAGTAAGCATTTTTGAAAGTAGATAATTAAGGCATTTAGATATTAAATTAGATAAGGTATCAAAAATATTGTCACATGTAAAATATATGTAGATTAATTTCACATTGCATAAGATGTTACCAAGAAACTTCGTGCGTTTGCAACCCTGGATGTTCTATAATTGAATAATATCTGATCAATTTAGTCTTTTTTCATATTCTGCGTAAAAAAGTCATATCAAATTCATATTATTCATTTTCCAAACTTAAAGTTATACTATGTTTGGTGTTTGAAAATATTGATTACTACTACATGGCCTTTATGTAAATATAAAAATAAACATGATTCGGCTTAATTCAAAGTAGATATGCTATCTTTTAAACTCCATACACTATCAGTAGTCACAATATGAATACAAAGTGTCATTAATAAAAAAATGGCATTTTTTTTAAGAAAAGACCAATTTCATTTGACCTTTAATAGGGAAAGCAGCTTTTAATACAAGATTTGAACACATTTTACTCAACTTTAAAACATCCAGTCAGATTTCTTGGATTTCAATGAATTTCTGTAATATGAATATTTTACTCAATATTGAGCATAGTATATATTTAAGAAATCCGAAACAGATAAAAATTGTACTCTGTCTAGCCTGGTTTTCATTTGCCAAGTACATAAATTTGATACATAATCTATATTGAACTATATTGAAGTAATACAGTTTTGTCAAAATGTTAAAATTTGTAGTGTGAAAGACAGAAGTCAATACACATTATTGATACAATACTTATTTTATTTGGACTCGTAAGCAGCTAACGTTTCGTCAAATATATGACTGCTGCGTAATCGTCCAATATAATTCTGATTTATATCAACAATGAATAATTTCCTAATAATATAAATATACCATCATATCATCTTCATATTATTATCAGGTTATAACATGAAAGAATGTTTAATATTTGTTAGTCAATGTTTCGTTTATCTAGATTTGAGGAATTGAGCCACATGTACGAACATGACACAAACATTTTATTCAGGTATAGGCACATAATGTCTCAAAAATATGTTTCAATATGGATTTAGAAATACATGTATTTGAAACCTTTATAACCTTAATAAATTAGTATTGCACTGATTTTTTGTTGTAAAGCAAGCAAAAGTAAGATAAATGGTGCTTTTACCTCTATTGTAAATACTTATTCACTATAGTAACTTTACTTATTGCCAAAACAAAAAGAAAGTAAAAAAATGGCTCAAGTATATGGCCAAATAGTAACTTTGTTGGAACTCGTTACAAGATTTCTCAAGCCTAGGAAAGGAAACAACAAATGATAGAATAGTTATACTTAATGGACTATAAAATTAGATAAGATATACAAGTTGAATATTTAGTTGATATATACCATCTCCTAATATTATTTTAGTGTATGTATTTTGTGTATGTTCATGTTTTCATATATGTTGGCATTTAGTTGAGATTCAGTCATCTATAGAAATTTATGATACAGAAATTTGAGGTACACTTACCCATGTTGCCATTATTATTACACATATTAATTACCCATTTTATATAGACTGTCATTTTTAAAATATATTGTTTTTCTCATATGTGAATTTCAATGCTATCACTACTTCCGGGTTGTAAAACATATGGCATGTGTATAAAACATTTCACATCTTCCAGTTTTTTTTATTTTATAACTGTTGAATTGTTTATACATATCAAACTCTAAGAGCATTCATTATTGCACGATTAGTGTTATATATTTTAACCATAATTAAAAAGCAACTTATCCATTGTTACACTGAAACGAAGTTATAGAGTAAAATTATAGAGTAAATTACACAAGCGGGTTATAATTGTTAGTGGAAAATCTCTTATTGTCAAATTGATATTCAAGAAGGGAAAATATAGTTTTATACAAATCAGTTTAAAAATTAGTTACATGTGTTGTTAACAAACAGTTTTACAATTTGTAATAATGTTTTTGTATAATAACTTGTGGTAATTGTCACGTTGATTTTATATACTTATATCGGTTGTTTATACACAGTGTAAATTTTTTTGACAATATCAGTGTATAAGTTCTTGTGACAACATTCATGTTTAACAACTTGTGACAATATTCAAGTGTTATAATTTGTGAGAATGTTCAAGTGTTATAGGAGATGTAATATACGTATACCGGTTGTTAATACACATTGTAATAATTTGTGACAATATCAAGTGTTATAGTAGATGTAATATACGTATATCGGTTTTTAATACACAGTGTAATAACTTGTGACAACATTCATATGTAACAACTTGTGACAATATTCAAGTGTAATAACTTGTGACTATGTTCAAGTGTTATAGGAGATGTAATATACGTATATCGGTTGTTAATACACAGTGTAATAATTTGTGACAATATCATTGTGTAAGTACATTTGACAGCATTGATTTGTGGCAATATTCAAGGGTTATAGGAGATGTTTGTGTTGGTTTGTGACAAGAAAAAGTTTTGTTAGTGATCTGTAATATCACATATAAATTGCTATGGAGTGTAGAAAACGACTTGCGCTTAACTGTGGTACAGAGATCATGCAGGCAGTTTGATAAGTCATAGCTCTTTCTATGGCAAAATCAAATTAAAGTGAATGATTGTTGTGAAGAAAAGCAAACAAACTAATGTAACTATACAGTAGGATTGTATATAAAACATTTAGTTTATTTATAAGCACTCGTGGTGATGATATTACAAGTTTGAACTGTTATCGTAATTAACAATATGTACATACATTTGATGTAACTATGTTACATTTTAAAAATATATCATTGTATATAGAAATAATGGTGATTGGAATTATTTGCTTTATAGGTTTTGAGAAGTTAATAATTCTGTATCACAATATGACAATATTCTTGATTGACTTACTGTTTATTATATATTGCTTTCATTTAATTACCAGGGTAGCCAAAAACCATGTTAAGTCAGGTGCATACAAAAAATAAATCTAATCTAATGCCATATTTTGTAAGTAATAAAGGGTTTTAAACAACGAAGAGTATAAAAGTTTAAATATGTCTCAACTGTCAGTTAAAATTCCACTTTTTTCATTACTTAATCTCTTTGAAGTTATTTTCCGGATCATGATGAATGTTGTCCTATGCATTGGTTGCATTGTTCAAACCGTGCCTCTATGAGCTGTTTTTGAATTTCAAGAGATAAAGTTGTTGGGTTCATCTGTGATACGCTTTTCTTCTATGTCATGTGTTATCATTCCGCGAACATCCTTGTTGACCATTGTACTAAATCCAACGAAAACAGTCAGGTACCTGTTGTTTTGCATGTTGAGAAGAAAAGGTTTTCTTATAAATTAATTTAAGCAGAACAACGAGTCACAATGTTTTTTATGGGATATGTATTATTGCAAAGAGAGTCTGCAAAACTAAAGCTAATGTACAAGCTGCCTCAATCACTGTACCCATTTGTCCATCGATTAAGACCGAAATATTGTTATATTATTATTTTTTCGTAATTTCTCGATATACAGATAAGCAATTTGTTGGCTGCCCTGTCATGTGCGTCTTGCTTCCTTTCTTGTACATATTTGAAACAAGAACCTGTAATAAAAATTTAATGTTGCATTATTGAGGATATTCAATTCTCATGTTTAAAACAAAAATATCAGAATCGTTAAGCAGATCTGATGCTTTTCTTTATCGAAATTTTGAAAAAAATATATTGACTATATCACTGAAAGAATATATTCTTGGTGGTCAACAAATATTGTTAGAGAAGTTGGTCCATCAGGGAGCGGTAGAAACAAATAAGAACTGAAAGACTGTATTTCTGTATTTCAAAATAATTTTATGATTTTGTTTTACCTGTTAGCCATAGATCTTCTGTTTTGTGTTGTTCCAATAAATCTTACGCTGAAATCTATGGAAATATTACAGAGAATGTTGCAATTATGTAAATTGTTAATTGAAGATGAAATTCATGTTAAGCAGATGTTAGTCACAAAAGCTATAAAAATAAATGGTAACCTGTCCTAATCAACTCATATGTGTTCAGCGAATAAATATTTGGTTATTTAAAAAGGGAATGCATTAGTTTCAAAACGTTAAAATAATGATTTGAGAGCGTGTAAGATGTTATTCACCTAAATAGATAACGTTGAATGTAAAACTATTTGTCATAAAAGTATCAAAATTTATACACAGTAGTATCTTGACTAATTTTCATGTAATTTTGTTGTGATTTATGGTGGCATATAATCTTTTATTTATTGAAAAAATTAACTAGTTACGTAAGTAGTTAACCACATAACTAACTAGTTAATTAAAATTTTAACTAGTTACGTAACTAGTTAACCTCTTAATTAACTAGTTAGTTATATGGTTATCTGGTGGCAGAAATATGCCACCATAGTGATTAATGCTTCCGCGGGATCACTTTATTTCCAGATTATTTTCATTCAAAATACTAAATCATTATAACTTCTAAATGCTAAAAGGCAGCATATCAAAATATGGTTGAGGCTATTTGCCAATGAATAACTTTTTGAAACTATAACAGAACACCTAGAATAATAAAAACGTTTGAGAAATAAGTAAAAAAAAATTGTTTCCGGGGCATAATGGGCTTTTAAAGAAAGTAATAGATAGGTAATACGCCAAATACTGTTATGCAATATTGAAGTAAGGAATCATCTGATATACAGATAACAAAATTTGATGTTGTTATAGGAGATTTTAATATTTTTTTGCTATCACAAGTGATAAAGTCAATTTATATTTTTAATTTTCTTTAAATTACATTTGATTAAGTTGTTAAATCTTAATAGGAGATTTTAATATTTGTTTTGCTATCACAAGTGATTAAGTCAATTTATATTTTTAATTTTCATTAAATTACCATTGATTAAGTTGTTAAATCTTATTCGTTATGTCTGTCATAATCTCATATATTACAAAAAAATAAGTGTTTCATCACACTGAAAGGTGTCATATTGTAAGTTATTACATGCTATATATTGTTATGGTAAAATGGTATTTCATGTAAAGTTTCTACCTACCGCTTCAATATTATGACATATTTTTTAATTTGTAATTAATACCGCTTCAATATTATGACATATTTTTTTTAATTTGTAATCTTTTTGAGAGTTAAGTGCTTGAAAAGTGATTGATTGTCTCATCATTTTCTTAACATACTTAAATGTATCATTTCATTGTTTTTACACCTTTAATACATCTAGGCGTTTTTTATATTCTTGGTGATTGTTTAATTGATGCTGTAAATGTTTGTTATAAGAGAAGATAAATCTGCACTGCATATAGACAATAGATATATATGGACGGTGAAGTTGTCACCCTTTAAGTTAACAAATAGTGTTCTCAAAGTTATATTTGGAATAGCTATTCCTGTTACACACATACAGAAAAATGTATATAAATATGTATGTATAAGAAATTTTAAATGAATAAATTATTCTTTATTCTGATCGTTTTTTTTTAAATTATTTCTGCTTTTGAACATATCATATGGATGATGTCAGCATTTAGGAACGGGATTAAATATCACCCACCTATTTTTCTTTTACTGTTGACGGATTTCCATTTCTAAGCTTTTATTGCTTTCTAATAAATATTATTTGCTTTGTTTTTCTGATTAAACGCCAACATGAACACATTATTGGTCATATCTGGGTCGTCTGGGATAGCTTACTAGTATAATTTCAAATTTCTCAGCAAGTGACCAGGTTTTAATTCCAACTGATTTTTGAATGACCGATGAGAACAAAAAAGTCCTTTAGACTTACTGACCGAGATCATTTGTCACGTACTATTTTTTTCTCTCGCCCGAGGGTCAGACGAGCGACCTCTAAATCACTTATTCAATGCTCTCATTTTACACTGCTCTCTTTTTACACTTTAGTTTAGAGAACAGAACAATTTTAATAAAGATTAATTAATATATATACTGACGCAGATCGAAGTAAATTACATATAAAATGTCAACGAAAGTAATCTTACAGATGCATTTATACGTAATGCAAATTAATAAATCTGATCTATCTATTGTCCAATTACCAGCTTTATCTAGGGCAAGGAAAATCGCTAAATTTGAGTCGATAATTCAGGTCTGAATACATTATGGAAATAGCAAATTTTAGTTAATGTAAGTTAAATAACGGGTTATTTAATAGTTTTATGCGTTACAATTTCATATAATTTATTAATAAACAACTTTGTTTTTCTACTTTCGATTTAATAGTACGTGTTGTACTTTCTTTATCTAAATGTAGGCTCGCTGAAAATAATGAAATTTAAAATCAATTTATTAACTTTAATTTGATATGATAACATTCTTCTGTTGTTGCGATTTAGTTTAGTCACATGTGTTATTAAAAGTAATTAAAGGGCACAAGTAATTTAAACTCGAAAGTAGACTTTCCTGTTTTAATTCAAGATTTAATTTAACAAATTGCGTCTTACGATTTTGGAATCCTGCGCAGCAAGTTTGTGTTTTTATGTTTCATCTAGGTCATTAATTTTGATGGATTTTTATGGTTTATTTTGATAATTACCAATAATGGATATATGCTAACCAGATGAGCACCAGATTTTTTCAACAGATTTGTGATTGAAATATTAAACATATTTACGGTAATCAAAGAATAAGTCAGATAGATTGATATTACACGCGATAACATCAGGTTTATTTATAGAAGCACCCATATTGTTTCATTTGTTGTAGTCATGTCGTAAGAGAAGAAACTGACAAATTGAACCTTTCATTAAAAAAAGCAACAAATCCAAAGTATAAAAAAACTTTAAAATGATGGTAAGTATATCTCAGCTATAATGTACTCTACTTAGTTTATTCTGAAATTTTAAACTAAAATGTAAAGGTTGATTCATATCGGCATCCGTTCAACTGGGAAAAGGTTTTTGATTAAGAAGTTATTACGACAGGGAGTGTTAAAAATAAATGCAAATAGAAATGATTTTTCTTAATTGCCATACATGCGTTTAACTCAACAGCAAATTGTTTATTATAAATACAATATTCATTTTGTATCTTTATCTGCATTCTAACTTGTTGTTTCCTTTTTTCAGGCGAAGAAAAAAATATAGCTGTTTGCGCCTCTGTTTCTGACCGTGCAAATACTGGATTTAGTTTATCTTCAGCGTAATTGACGAAATTGACAACACTCCGGATCAATAAAACATACTTGTCCTCGGGCGTTTCTACTTAGATATGATCGTACTTTTATTTCTGAAGCACGGATAAAGTCATGTAGGAAGCAGCTTATTTCACTACATATTCGAGACACCGGAAAATAAAAAAGAACAGTGATAGGTGGATCTGACTGCATATTAAATGACACCGTGACAATTCTTGAAACATTTATTTACCAAAAATACAAAAACTAGTGATATACAACAATATGCATATGACAAACATAAAAACATATTGTTTAAAAGTCTAAATAAAATAAAATGTATACATTGGTTGTTTTCTTATATTTTATATCTAAACCAGTTTAAACCAATTGGTAACATTTCATGTCCTGATTCGAATAGTGAAAATTCACTTTATATACAGTTTTGAGCTCGGCATTTTCAGTACCAAACTCTTCGTAACATTGATCAAGATGCATTTTATCTTTATTACACTTTACTTTCTATCACTTTAAACGCTTATTTACCAATAAACAATATTTACCCCTGCACTTTTGCTACATCACATAGATATTAAAGTTTTTTAATGTCAACATTTTGCCTTTATTGTTGAATAAATCTTGCCATACTGTTGCATGGTATTAATTGAATGTCACAAAAGGAGCGGCGAATTGCTGTAATAAAACCATCAAGAGTGTTAAAGATGTTGATGCAAGGACTCTTTGCACTGTAAACCCTATACATGCAGCTATTTTTCTGTAAGAGTTGTGATATTACACCTAACGACACAAGCAAAATAGAATTTAACATTTTAAACTACACATACTATCTGGGGTATTTTTGTAACCATTATAAATATTAACCTATAATAGATATTTGAGATTATACTTTACAATGGAAGTACTTTTTACATGTTTTGAAGTTCATTTATGACCCACTAAACAGTTTTCAAATCGTACGTACTTCCTGATCCCTATATGTCTGTCCAACCCTTTTGCTTTAAATTTCTATATTTCGCACTGGAGCTCAACCTAAATAAGACATGTATTATAACATATTTCCAAAGTCAATATATTGAATAAAGTCATACTTATGTTGCTTCTAGATTTAACTTACATCCCATTTACGATAGAGTAAACGTATTAAAGGTGAAAACAAACAATTGCATTATACTTCAAATCATATTTGTTCATCTAATGCTGGTCCTTTATTTTCCACTATTGTGTCTTTATATTGTGCGCCTTAGCATTGTGAGTGCATACCATTTCCTTATTGAACTCACGAAAACATGTTGTTTTGCGCTTTTAGAAGATAAACTACTCTTAAACTTAAGTAGAAAAACGAGTGCTCCTATCTTTGTCATAATTCTTTTTATGGAATACTTATTCAACAGAGTGTCTGTAAAACAAAAGTTTGTGTATCTCTGTACCCATTTGTTCATCGATCAATACCAAAATATTGTATTATTAAAAAGTTTTCATGATGTATCGATCTAAGAATTGAGCAATTCGTTGGCTCCCTGTCATGCACGTCTCGTTTATTTCTCGTAAGAATATTTCGGAAAGATTCTCTCTCATGTATCACTTTGGATTGCATTATTGAGGACAGTAATGTCTCCTTTTTCAAATCAAAATATCAGACTTGTTAGATAATTCTTATGCTTCTTCCTTATGGAAATTTTGTAAACAAAAATATATTAGCTACATCAAGGCTAGGAATTTTTACTTGGTTGTCCAAAATTGTTAGTGGATTTTGCCCCTCAGGGGTCATTTAAGAATTTAAAGACTGTATTTCAAGATAATGATGATTCTTATTTTCTGCTAGCCATAAATCTATCTTGTGTTGTTCCAATACCACTAAAACTGAAAATGGTATGAAATTATTCCATTGAATTTACGAATATGGTCATTATGTAAATTGTCAATTAATGATACTGTTTGTATGGACGATGGAGTTGTTTCCCCTTAAAGTAAAAAATGATGTAATTATTTAGAATACATGTAGCTTTCACTGTTTGCTATGTTATTGTCTTTGTATTGTAAACAAGTGTATGTGTATTCATGCGACTATTATATAATAAAAACATTATTTTTGTTTTCCTCTTGCGAGTTATTATATCAGTTGGATAATGTTGACAAGGTTTATATACTAGATGTAGGAAAGTGTGTCTGCATTTACATGTACGAAAGTGATAAAAAATCGCCTACCTAATTTTGTTTTCTTTGCTATTGACAGATACCTATTTTCAATGCTTTTATTGCTTTCTATTAATTAATATTCGTTTTTTTTTTCGTTTTCTGATTTTACGTCAATTTTAGCACATAATGGCCATATCTCAGCGGTAGATCCACCTAACCGGCTTCCCTGGGTAACTAACGACAAATTACAAATTACTACATACTTGACCAACGTAAACTCTCACATGATTTTTATGGCCATAAGACTCAATGGCTCTGGAGTAATTTGGCCTCGCAGAAGCATCGATTTCGAATCCGACCCTTCTATGCTAATCGGACATATCTGTTTTAAAGATTAATTTATGATATATAATCTAATATTTATTATGTTAATGACGCAAATCTAACTTAATTACTTATAAAAAAACGAAACTATTGTTACGGATGTACTTATTAGTAATGCACATTCACAAAAAAAAACTAGATCGATTAAAATCTATGTTATGAGATAATTATGATAGACAGCAGGTCTATGTCACAGCTTATGAAGGCTAACACACTTTTTTGGATTTAAAGATTCAATTTTAATCTGATTAAATTATGGAATTTGCAAATTTCATTTAATGTAAGTTTATGAATTGATTGTTATTCTTTACTTTGTGGGTTACGTTTTTTATGATCGATAAACAACATATATATTTTCCATTTTCTGTTTGAAGATCTAAATATAGGATCGTTGAAATGAGAAAAAAATGGAACAAATCAATTTAATAAGTGTTATTTCTGTTTGTTTAAAATATCTTGGAATATGTAATTACTTTTTCATATGTTAGATTTAATTTTATGAAATAGAATTAATTTATTTTGAAATCGAAAGGAAAATTTTCAGTTTGGTTTATTTTAGTCACAACGTCATAGTAGCTAATTTTAGGACGGTCTTGGTAACCCTGCAGCGTAAAGATGAATGTATGGATATATAATAAATGATTTTTAGACACAAAAAAGGTTTTTTACAGTTAGATTTATAATTAATATTATTTTTTTACACTTATCAAATAATTGGTAAAATCAATTACATCAGGTTTAATTATAGATGCACTGGGAAGCCGGATTAGTTCATGTTTTGTATGGGAGCCTTTAAGTGTCATTTTAAATTTTATAATAAGTACTTGTAGTTAAACCCATAGAATACAAAATGTCAATGTGACATATCGATTAAAAGAAAACAAGTAAAACGTATTAAAGTCTTTGAAAGTATGGTAATAAATATACCAAATAATATAATATAAACTTTTACAATAGGTTGATAGTTTGAATATAAGATATTAGGCAATACCAATTCTTTGATAAGTGTAAAAATGTTCAACTTATATAAATAATAATGGTCAATACTTTTTTATTTCGATGGGGATGCCACTTACTGGATAATCATGTCCAGAAAACGACTGACACAAAATTAGTTAAGTTAGCCCGTATAGTTTAGAAGTATAGGTTCTAGTTCATATATTAGAATTATATACAAATTAAGTACAATGGAGCGTTAGCGCCCGCTGTACTTAATTTGTGAATAATTATTTCTTATATGTGAACTATAACCGGCTTATAGTTCACCCTGATCCATTTCAGCCAAACATGTATAATTTGCGGGTATTAGAGCATAGACTGATCATTGGCGGACGAATCAAATTTCAGTATAATAGGAAGAGATGATGATAATTTATTTCAGGATTTACTCTCAAAGGGAGACAATGATATTCATTGACGCAAATACTGAACACTCAAAACTCAGCTCCTGATGAAACAGGTCATTTGGTAGCCCAACATATTGTGAGCAAGGGCATTTTACCACATTCTTCGGCCGCCCTTCAAAAATCGTAAAGTTAGACATGTATGTAATATCAGTTTTTGAAAAAAATTGGCTGGTCCTGCAGTCGAACTATTCAGACTTGTCATTTTGTAGAAATTGAGCTGGAAAGCACCATTCGTGCTTAAGCTGATTAGAAGCATTTAAAATATTCTTGAACTGTTGCTAGCCTTTCTAAGGTAATTGTGAGCAAAGGGCTCTTTTTATATATTGAGAAACTTATACCGCCCCTCCCCCTCATGCATAATGCAGAAATATAATAGAATTCTAAAAAAAGGCTTTTCCTGTTTTCTGTCAAAACATTCTGCCTAAGAAATGTTTCCTGAAATCTGCTAAAATGTGCTTTCTACAGCCGTTGATTAACAATTTTCCTGAATTTGCTAGTACCTATTGGCATTGCCATTAACTAGGTCTTACACGCACAAAACAAAATAAACTTAGAGGGAAAAACATCTAAAATATCTGAAATGTTCTTTTTGGAAACAACTTAATAGTTTAACAATGTCAAAATATACAGATAAGTGGAACAAAAAATTGAAAATCTCTGATTGATGGCACTGTGTAGCATATTGCTTATTCAATAACCAACATTAGTAACAGTCCCTTGCCCATTTCATATTTCATCTATAATTCAGATATCACAAATTACCGATAAAATCAGGGGTAATTCAGAATTCAGAATCGATGTTACTTTCCCTGCATTCTTCCCCTTGACAACTGACAATAAATCATTTACTTCATTCATAACTAAGTGCTGTCTTACATGTACACACAATTTCAAACCTTTAACCTATTATAAAAGTAATTTGCATGACCGTCATATTTAATATACTGTATACCCTTTACGAATGCTATACCCCCGCCCCCTAAAATGGAGAAAAAGAAATTAGAACAACAACAATTAAGAATTACCCATTTTCATCTAATGCTGCTCTTTCAATGTCCATTAAATTGTCTTTTTCTTTTGCGAATAAGCATCGTCAGTGCATACTATTTCCCTGCCGACTTTTGCGGAAATATGTCTTATCATTATTGCGAAAAAGGGCTGAACGGTGACACATTTCACACAAGTTTCAGCACTAGTAGTTTCAAACAACTCTCAACGTATTAATATACAATGTATACACTGTTAAGCATTAGTAAACCACTTCTCTGTCTGTTATTCTAGACAAAACTCATAGTAAATCATACTTGTTTACAATACCGTATTCAAATTGAATTTACCAAGTACTGATGATAGGCTAAAGACACAAACTTGCGAGTTCATTGCCAATTGCAGATCTT